AGGTTAATCACTATTGTGTACCATATCTAGATACTATGGGATTAAATTAAATAATTAACAGTTAAAGCATTAAGCCTTAGTTAAGCCTCTGGTAAAGTAAATATCTTTTAGTAGACTGGTCCTGTTAAAGAGATAATATATTCTGTATTTTTATAGGAAAAGGATATTACAGAAAAGGACCATCGTGTGTATAATTATATGGGAGATGGGATATAATATTTAAAGTCTGAGCGGATTTATTAACCTAAGAAGCAGAGAGAATAGGCCTTATTAAACTAGATATTATATTATGCTGACTAGTCGGAATTAAATTATTACTTTAGTATATGCTTACGGGAGTAATAGGCTGCTTGTCTGGTATAATATTTAGCCTGAATAATATTAGATTAAAATAGTAATACCCGGGTTGCCTGTGCTTATTAATGTTAAAGTGATGGAAGCTGTTAAAACTATATTAGTCTGGATAAGTAATACCGTATCCTGTGTTGTCTAGAGGCATTGTTTCTATCCCGAATAATATTGGATTAAAATGGTAATACCTGGGTTGCCCGTGCTTATTAATATTAAAGTAATGAAAGCTGTCAAAGCCATATTGTTCCAGATTAAACATACCCTAGGCTATGCTAGAGTCTGGGTTATGCGGGGAATATCCCCTGGAGTAAGTTGCTGCTGATAAGTTATTTTAAGGATAGGCAGTTTTTAGTAACATATTAATACCCCAGGTAATAAGTTATAGAATATCTCCTTAATAAACAGAGTCTAGAGATTAAGGCTGTTAAAACTACTCTGTTATTAGAGATAAACTATGATTCTGGGTAGTAAGCAAGATATCAGAAAGGGTATATTGGCTGGATTCGGATATAATTAATTTTTTATTATTAGATATAATACTAGCACTCAATAACAAAATAATATTTTTATATGAGCTTGCTTGTCCGTCAGGAAGTTCCTCTACTGCTAATAAGGGATTATGATTTTAGATAGCAAGTAAGGTATTAGAAAGGGTATGTTAGCTGGATTCGGATATAATTAACTTTTTATTATTAGATATAGCACTAGCACTTGATGGCGAGATAATATCTTTGTACAAGTTTGCTGTTATTGTAGATAGTTCTCGCGTAATTACCCTTTATACTTAAAATACTGGTATTAGCTTTTGCTGGCGCTATTTTAGCAGAAAGTATAATTAGTAATAGGCTTATTTAGGCAGGAAGATATACCTATTATTAAACATGTGTAAAGAGTACCGGTGCTATTTTTAGGATAGCATAATCAGTAATAGTTCCCTCTGGCAGGAAGATATATGTACCGTTAATTATATAAAGAGAGTAATTTTTTATAATAGCTTTTATTTTTATCTATATATTACTGAATAAATGGCCTACTAATATATTTATAATAATTTTATTATTAACTTCCAAAATCCCCCGGCTAATAAATATTTTAATCTTCTGGTCTTTATATTTTCTGTTATATAGTATATCCTTCAAGCTAGTGGGTATTAATCCATCGCAAAATATATAGAGGAAGGTTGGTAAGTCTTATAATTTCTCTGTAATATTAGAAAGCAAATAGAATAAAGGTCTAAAATATATATAACTCTTATAGTTGTCTTTATTTAAGTTATTAATATTAACTATATTTAAGTCCTCGATAGTAAATTAATTCTTGCTCCCAGGATACTGGCTATCCGGTTATTTTATTAGATCCTGATAAAGTCTGTTATATTTCTTACTAATATTTGCCTATAATATAATGTTTTGTGTAATTTAATCACTGCTAATATTAATAGTTAAATATATAAGCTTTAAAATTATGTTAATAATATTATCCCGGAAGTTCCTAATATTAAACCTGTCTTTTAGGTAAAAGAATAGGACTTTAAAGAATTTTAGGCATAAGTTATCCTTAGAAAGGCATAATTCAGCCTGAATAACTGTTTTATAAAGTCTGGAGATCAAGCAGTATCTGTTAAGTATAATATTTTTATTATTATTATTATTTTTATTAAAAAAGCAGTTATAGTTTTTTATTTATTAGATAATATTAGTCTGATCCTCTGCTGGAATAACAATTTTTTATAGGGAGTTTATTTAACAAAATTAGTATCTTTTATTAATTTTGTCTTTCGTATTTTTTAGTAATTTCTTCCAGAGTTTTCGGAGGTATTTTATAAATTATTTTATTTAGTAGTTATATAGTTAAGGGTATATCAATAAACCTCTTGCTGACTAACAAGTTATAAAAGGTTTTTAGCTTTAATAATAGTATTATATACCTTAGAAAATATCTCTAGTGCTATTTTAGAGTTAATAAGTCTTATTATAAAGCTCCAAGCGCAGTAAAATCTTGAAGGTATAATATATCAGTTAATATAAAATCAATATTAAAGATTAAAAGTACGAATCTTATTATACTAAGAGCGTGTATTAGTATTAAATATACGGGGTCACCTGGCGGCGCGAATTAAATTGTTTTTAAAAGATTTTGGTTATAGAACTATTAGCAGGCTATAATCCTTGTGAATTAACAGCCAGTTATTAGTCCAGACCTCAGTAATATACGAGATAATAAAAATACCACGAAGGATATGTCAGTAGCGGAATGACACTGTAGTAAGGATTAATTAAACCTAATAATATCAGAGTATAATATTAGCTTCTATACTCTCACCCGTGTCTTTAAAAAAAGGCTCTCTATCACTGAGACTTGGAACTAACCTCCTGATTAATAAATTGACCGGTGTATATTAAGTTTTTAGATATTAGAAGTATTATTATTTTGTTTTTTACTCTTATATATAATAAACTGGGTCTGATTATTTTTAAAGATAACTTTTTATATCGTATTTCGCGTTCTTAAATATAGGGAAGTAATTTTATACAAGTCTTAATTAGCAGCGAAAGTGCTAAAAAATAATTAATAGAAAAAGCCCCTATATCTCCGAAGTAATGGATCTCAGACTACTCCGAGATAAAATATAAAAATATAATACTCTATCTTGTTTCCCCCTGACAATTTTAACATAAATATATTATTAAACATATTTTACTTAACAGAGAGATTGACTAGGGATAGTTCTCTTATAAATTTAAAGGACTTGGGTATTTATAGCAGGTATACTTTCTAGATATCTAAATAATAATAGTGTTCTGTTATAGGTTAGTTATATTAACAATATAATTATTTTAAAAGTATAATCCAGGCCTAAGTCTTCTGTGGCCAGCAGGGTAGTTATAGTCTTAATAAAAACTGTTCTCCTAGTTATATATTTAAACACTGTTAAAGCCTAATATATGAAAGTCTGTATTATAACTAATTTTTGGTTGTAATAATTATCTATGTGTGTGATATTACAAGTAATAGGAGTTGATATAAATATAAAGTAACAGATGACAAACAAGAGATAAAAAGCTGGCTTTTATCTTATGTTTTAATTTTTAAAGTAAAAGACTTAATAAGACTAACTATAGCTTTCAGAGAAATATTTATATTTATTAATAATAGATTTACACTCCGGGCTATTAGCTGCTGTTTTGGTACCCTAAAATATTATATTAAATATTTAAGGGTATACTTATTTTATTGGCTAGAAATAAGTATTAGGGCCACTAGACTGAATGTGGATGATTTAGTTCGCGTGGAATAAGTCTTCTAGATTTGGATAAATATAAATACTGTCTATTAAGTATATACTAGGCTGAATATAGACAACTTGTTCCGCGTGGAATAAGTCGTCCAGATTTAAATAAATATAATTAGTCTATAATAATATATGTCGGCACTAAACTAGCTTAATAATTTATTAAAAGAAGTGATATTTTTTTTTGATTTTATCAGGTATAATTATCCCTGTCCCTATAATTATTTTTATGCTTTAATATTACAGTTAAGCCAACAAAAAAGAGCTGGTAAATATATAGTCTATCTTACAAAGTATAAAGGTTAAGTAACGTAAGTTATATTATTTTATTAATTCTTGACAGATCTAATGTTCTGCAGTATTTTATTATGCTAAAACTGATGATAAGTATCAGCTTTATGTTCTTATAACACGCCCATTTATCAGAATTGCGTGGGACCTCTATAAGAGATGGCTGTTTACTAGTGGGGAGATATACTACTCTATGATGGTGTTTAATAAATCTATGACCTGCTAAAATAATTATATAAAGAAGTTTTATAAAGATGCTTGAGTTAATTTATATAATAATGCTTATGCCAGAAGCGAGGAAGGGTAATAGGAATAAGCTGCTTTATATATGGGAAAGACTGGAAGAGTCTTATGGGAAGATGATCTAGTCCTGGTCTAACTAAAAAGGCTGAAACTAGAAAAACTGTATATTAAAGTCTGTGCCAACTATTATAACTATAGCTATAGTTTGAACATATATATAACTGTAGAGATAATTATTAATATATTTAAGTATTCAGAAAATTAAGTTAGCTTTAATTATTTATCTTGTGATTTAGCTTTTCTCTTATTAAGGGCCTTAATCTATAAAATTAATATATTCTTATGGTTCCAAGGAACTAGTGACACGGTATTATTATAGTCTTATATAGTAGAAATACAAATAGCACTAATATACCGGGCCGGCAGGTGTATATGTATAAACCTCTTTTAAAGCATATAAAACTGTTTAGAGGTAGTATAGTTCATAATCCTGTTTTAAGATAAGTCAAGTATGGTCTTTTCAAATTTCCGACCCTGATATACTAATTACTGGCTTTAAACTCCTGCTACTTAAGAGCTCTGTCTATCTGTCTAGAAACTATAAAGTGGAATTGAGATGCCTAGAAGCTAGATGAAGGCCCATACCAGCCATTTTCTGTATAAACAAACAAGCCCTTATAGATCTCCTTCCCTGTTGGATGAGACAGTCTGTTGCTACGAGAGATAGCGCAAACAGCAACCAGGACGCTTATTTATCTTCAAAAACTGCTGCCACACGGGATACTGACATTGCTTCGCCTCAAATCCACATCGAGGACGACAAATGGAGTACTATAACCCTTCCAAATCCTACATATTATCCAGTTCAACCTCCGAGAGCCAAGATACAGCACTCATCGACCTCACTACGGGAAGAGGTGTCCGCCGAACAAGAGCAGCCCTTCCGATGGTCTGATTGGTTCCTTACCCGGTAAGATTTCCATGCCACACTTCTTCCACTCCTAACATCAATCTAGAGAATGAACAACGTTCTGAACATCAAGAGGATCATATGCTTTCGAGTATTTGTGTATACACTACATGCTCTGCCTCAGTTTCAACTGTCCATATTTCCAGGAAGCTACCGTCATTAGAGTAAATAGGGTAAAAAGCGCTCCAATGTAGCATTAACTGTGCCATCGTCACGACCAGGCAATTTTTTCTGTACTGCAATCCACCCTCCTCTGTCTTTTTCGAACCATGGAGATACCCCATCCGATTGTGCACCTATAGAGAGTGAATCAGAATATGTGTCTCGGGCTAGCTTGGTAGTGGGTAAACTCTTGCCACTGGCTTTTCTTTCTCCTGGCTTCAATAGTTACGAAGTGACCAACAATAGTTACAAAGTGACCGCTAACAGTTACAAGATAATAATAATATGACAACCAATGCTTATTACAAATCGGTGTAAATTAAATCCCTGTCGGTGACCCACTTAACAAGCGCCTGCTGGTGGGCTTTGACCTGCATGGAAAGGATGCCGGTGCATTATGGAGCATGGTAACTCTTTACAAGAACATTAGTTTAGACTGTAATGAGATAATCGGTACGAAATCTGTATGATAGATAGTTAGTGTACAATAATTAAAAATGGAGACTAAGGACCACATAAAGATTTCCACGGTATGAAATCCTAGGGTTTAGGTATTAAAAGGATCTCTTCCCTGTTATATAATTAACTTCATTTGTTAATCTTGATAATTAGAAGTCTATAACTAGAATATAGAAGAGATATTAGTTATAAAAATATTAGCCTTATTTTATACTCTTACCGTAACTTGGCTCTGGCTAATCTATCTTTTTACTGTTTTTATCTAAAGTAATTCTCTCTCTTATTAATATGTTCTGTATTATAAGCCTTGTTGAATCTTGGAAAACCCTTATTTTTATTTTAGATAATATAAGACTAACAGCCCTTGAGGCGACCAAAGAAATTATTATAAAGTATAAGAATATTCTACTAATATCCTAATCAGGCCAGCTAATATAATAGTTAATAGATATTATTAAAATCGAGTAATTTATCCTATTAATATTAGCGAGTAATATTACCCGGCAGATACCACGCCCCTTTAATATAAAATAACTAGCACTAGATATTATCGAAGCTGAGAAGACTGGAATATCTATTCTTAGGGATTATAGAGGATAAAAAATAAAAAGAGGCTAGTTTTATATTTTATTTTTAGTTTAGTTCTAAAGATATCCTGAGAATATATATTTAGTGTTATATCCGGAAAAGATTAATGCCTATTATTTACTTTCAGAATACCAGAAGCTTCTTAAAATCTAGCTGGAATCTGTAAAGATAAAAATACTATAAACAAAACTTAAGCATGATTTTGATTTAAGGTAAGATGATTGGTTTAAAGTTTCTGTATAAGGATTTTGATTTTACTGCGTATGCAAGAGCGCGACTGGCATTGTTCTTGATGTAGTACATGGGAAATGATATTCTCAGAGGAAATCCAATAATTGTGGATGAGCCATCTGTACACCAAACAACAAAGAATGATTCAGGAACTGGTGCCAATTTGATTCTGCGGTATGATTCAAATCGAGTAATATCACCGAGCTTATTGAGTCCCATACCTAAAGCTTGTATTGAGAAATAGAGACAAGGCGAGGAATAGTTATAAAATCACAAGTTGGGCCTTAGGCTCTCATTCTATACTTGAAGAACCTCAGAAGGCCTAAAATCCGCACGAGCCTTCATACAGGACAGAGGAGCAACCAATTCAAAGACCCAACCGTAAAATTCAAGTTCGACACTTACTACTGACCCTCCCCCTTCGGCTGTGTATCCCAATCCTGTCCTTACTATTCGAATATCTTTATCCGTGAACCTGCGAGTTATCGTAGCCATTTTATTACCCTTACAGAGAATAAACTCTGTATGGGGAATAGAGTCTGCATAATGCACTCGGGCCTCGTAGGGGTGATAGTCATGATAAACCCTGGCGAACTACCTGCAGTTAGGATATTTGGTATTATGAAGAAAGAAGAGTGGTAAATGGGTGAATGGCACCTCGATAGGACGATGCTCGCCTGGATCTTGCTTACCCTCCAATTCAGAGAGGGACATTAAATCAGCGAATTCTGTTGAGGTGCAACGGAAAAGCTTTCCGCAGCCGTGCATTATACCAAGAGTGAACTTCCAGTACTGCTCCAGACATTGCTGTAGAACACCAGGCATGATCAAACGAAGCGTGCAGGAGACGGTTTAAATGAACGATTAATGACAGCCAAGTTTCGTCTATACTTGCTGTAATTGACAAGGCTGGTGTCTATGTAAAATGCTTCGCTTCATTTTTCTCGGTAACACTTCAAGGGCAGCTGCTGAGATGATTTATGCCGACCAGTCTTCTCTATTCTTAAGAACTAAACTTGGCCAGCACCTGAACGTAGCTATCTAGCAGCTGTACGCTAACCAGTGCTGATGATCTAAAGGAATTTGCAAAGTACCTAAGTTGAGGATAGCCAGTGACAGTGGCTGCCATCGCGCACAGATGATCAGCACTACTTGGTAATCAGGACTTCAAGCCCAAGTTAGTTCTTTCCGTAAAGGTTTCGTGTCACGTACGTGACACGAAACCTTTACGGAAAGAACTGCACTAAATGAGAGTTTATAAATGCGGGGTAGCACCCGCCAGGACATTTAAGGCCAGACATCTTTTCTTCCGAGCAGGTTATTAAATATTAACATAAAATGTCCTTGTTTCAGGAGACTTTACAAAAGATATTAAATAATCTTTTACCGTCTTTAATTATTAATAAAGTATGACTGCCCTTTCTCTATAACTTATTAACAGACATTAATTTATAAAGTTATATCCTAATTTTCCACGCCTTCTTCGCTAAAGGCATATATAATAAATTTATATAATTTAAACCTCTTATCTTCAAGTCTAAACATCCTTAACTTTCTTAATAACTAGTTATACCCTCAACCCCCAATATAGCACAGAATATTATTGAATTTACCCTTATAATTATTAGCAGCAGTCTAAATCCTTCTAGGGAGCCTTTTAAGCCTACTGCTGGTATTTAAAACTAACTGAGGTAGAAGAAATAATTAAATAATTTTTATTTATTAATACTAGAATTATTTAAAAAGCAGAAATTATAGTATATATAGTCCGGTATAAATGTTTCCAACCTGATTTAAGATATTAGGGAATTTTTAACTCAGGAACCTCGAGATATGATATTTTATAGTACTTTATAGGATAATACACACTCCTTTTAACCGCAGAATCTGATCACAGATCTAATTTATTATTTCAAAGTCTTACAGAAGTTGATTAGTAATAGTATTGTAAATAAGATTAAATATATCTACTGATAATAAATAGTATATATCTTTGGAAACCATAAACTAGAAATAATTAATAGCCTTATCCTAGTCAGTGAGCTTTCCTAAAGAGTTAGATGAAGAATAATAACTATTAATAAACTGGCAGATTTCTTGAAAGGTAGGGATAAGGTTTTAAAAGCTAATAGAAAATACCGCTATTATCTTTTATTCTTTTATAAATTCGGACCTGGTGCTGTTGTGTTACTCGGGGATACTGTAAAAGATATATAAGATATTACAGAATTCGCAGTGTGAGTAATTAACTAAGCTCTAGACTTGAAAATAGATTGTTAGATAATAATATTATTAATAATATAAATTTTATTCGGAATAATCTCCCTGACTTTATTTTATAGTATAAAAGGATAAATTTCGCAGTGGCTATCTTGATTCTCAAGGATTTATTACTATCGGGCTGGGATAGAAGATTCTATTACGAGACTAGGTTTATAAATTATTTAAAAAACTTTATTAATCTTAAAATATTTCAGGAGTCTGGTAAATTTTGGTCTGTTTTATTAGAAGAATCTAGTAGTACCTGATTTAAAAGCTTCTTTTTAGAGGCGCCTGTGAATCAAAATAATAATAATACTGATTTTAGTATTTTAGCTTCAGATATACCTGTTGCTAGAACTAAAGATATTTTATCTGCTGGTAAGGCCGGTCCCTGAGGTATTTAGTATTAAAGTATTTAATTTTTATTAATTTGCTTAGATACTCGGAACCCCTCCTGTATAGATGTGATATTAATAGATTTTTAATAATATCAGTTTTCTAACACAGATATCTGGGCTATTATTTATAATAGGCCAGTTAATGGAGCAGGTCGGTATAAAAGAAGATACTAGCCTGAAAATCTTAATATTAACATAAATACCTCCCTTGGCTTAGAAGATATACCTACTTTAATTAATCCCTGGCTGTACCCCTCCGCGGATCCAGGATTTATATAGCAGACGTCAGTATCTGCGGATGACTCTATAAATACCCCTTTTAGCTTAGGTCTCTCTTTTTTTAAGGATATATCTGCTTTAGCTAATCCCTGGCTGTACCCCTCCGCGGGTCCAGGATTAATATAACAGATATTAATATTATTAGAAAAGTCTATAAATGCCTCCCTCGGCTTAAATATCTCCTTTTTAGATAATATATTTGCTTCAGCTAATCACTGGCTTTTCTTTTATAGTGTTAATAAGAATATAACTAGCCGTATACCTGCTTTAGTTTTAAGTAGGTCCCAAAATATTAGATTAATATATATAAATACTTAAATTAGATATCCTTCAGCTATATTTGGATTAAGTATATTAAATAATCTTATATCTATAATATTTATACAATCAGCAGTAGCGCTAGAGGTTTAAGATATTCCGAACTTCATATTATATAGCAGTTTAATATTAGTTATATTAACAAAATTTATCCCTTTGTTTATTCTTGTATAACACTGATACTACTATATTCTATTAAATCTTTATATTATTTTTTGGGGGCTTTCGTACTGGAAGGCTTTGTGAGAATATAATAAAAAAAGCTAGATATAATAACCTAGTTTTTAAAGTGGAAGGGTTCTAATCCTAGAATAAGTAAAAGACTATTAAAGATTCGAGGTATGCCTTTAATTATTAACACTAGTATAATATAGGCCTCTTTTTCTAAAATCCTTGTATTTTTTATTATTTTCTAAACCTGCAGACCGAAGCCTTCTAATAAAAGAGGTATTTCTAAGATATATTT